ACTCATCTCATCAGGGCCTTCTGCAAACAGGCAAAATCAACAACTGCCCATACACAAGCATTCTCTGTTATGGCCCCCACTTCATGGAATGGCCTGCCTGATGAGGTCAGGAAGGCTTCCACCCTCCTGGCTTTAACTATGCAAAAGGGAATTATTCAGGAGAGCTTTTTAACACAGGCAGTAGGCTGTATTGTAATGAATTGGTTCAGACAGATGCATGGTAAAGGGATAAAGGACTAGCTAAAGAAGGTAAGTCACTTGCCAACCCTAGCCTACCTGGAGGCTGGCATGCCTATAATCCAAAGCAGTTTTAAAATGTCAAAATGCTGTCAATTCATAGCATGACTATGCAAAACTAGAATCTGTTATATTCTTAGTATTATACTTAATATTTTAACAGGAAGCACATGGTTAATGCAAAAAAAAGGGAGCACATTTCTTCATGTCTAAAAGTCATTATTCTTTATTATGTCAACTTGAGCTTCTCCATATATATATAGATTCAGGTGGGTAGCTATGTTGATCTGAAGCAATAGAACAAAGTATGGGTCCAGTGGCACCTTTAAAACCAACAAAGTTTAATTCTGGGTATAAGCTTTCATGTGTATGCACACTTCCTCAGAGCTTATACCCAGGATTAAACTTTATTGGTCTTAAACTGGGCTCAAACTTTGTTCTGTTACTACATGTACATTTAGACAGTAATGCCATACCCATGCATGTTCCTCATGTGCTGGTACTAACATTACATAATGATTTGCATGTTTCAATAAGCCATCATGGATCAAACAACACAAACTTTTCATATCGTTTCCCATCAAACATAAGGCTTCTAAAAGCAGTCAATTGACATTGAGCTGGAACATCACAATTTGAATAATCAAAGAATGAGAAAGTGATATAAAGTAAAGTCTCTGCATCAACCCATGACACATCCTTGCATTAGTCAGAAATCTGGGATTAATCATATCATTTGGATCAAGCTGTCCTCAAGCCATTTTAATAATTTTAAAAAAATCATTACCAAAACACTGTAAGACAGTGGTTAAATCAAGAGAGCACAAAAGTGGTAAGCAAATACAATATTACGATATAACCATAATCAAACTTATGTCACAACTATTGAATGTTATACCTCCAACCTGTTTTACAACCTTTCCCCATATTTCCCTGTTCCAAGCACTCACTCACTTTACAGAGCTGTGATTACACTTCCCTGTGAGAGAGTGATTGCAAGTTCACAGGTTCAGTAATATGTTTATTTTTTCCACTATAAAACAAACACAGACAAACAAACACACACAAAAAACATATAAACACACACAAAACATAATTTTGAGGGTTACAAGTATCTTCTAATTATATCTATTACATTACCTGTTACATTGTATAGCTATGAGATAAGCAGTTTTTATCATCATACATTTTTCTCAAGATGTTCTGCATTATATTTAAATTTAGATTCTAAAATATCTCCAAATCTCTCCCTTATATATAAAGCCGTAGTGGGCTCCAACGTTCCAAATGCACACCTTTTGTGTTTGGCCGCAAGAACTGTCAGTCAGAAGACGCTGGCTGGGTTGACTGGCTGCTTTGTGCAGTCCCGCCCAGCGTTTCAAGGTCTTTTGCATTTGGAAGCTGATTGGACTTCACTCCATTCCACAACTCAAACTCTTCCCCCCCGCAAGGCAGTTGGAATTGTCAGTTGCATGTGGAACTTACTGTATTCTGCAGTAAAATATGTCCTCACTCACAACACATTACTTCCTCTTCAAAAGAAACAAACCCAATAACACAATCATGCCACATCACAAAGAAGACAGATCACACCACAAGCAGAACCTTCCCCCTACCACGGGACCTCCACGGGACCTCGATCGGTAGGTCTAATCAAGTAACCGTGCGGTTTTTAGCCCTGTGGCTAACTGCCACGTTTCCCCCCCACATTTTCCTGCCCGTGTGACCGGGACCAAAGTTATTAAAGCTTCATTCCAAGTTTAATACATAAATAATCTTTTATATGCAGTTGGGCATAAATGTCCTCTGCCATGTATATGATGTCATGGATGACCATGTATGTGTGTATCCACTGTCCAAACCCCATTATTTTTATCATGGAAATCAACATAAGCATATACTATGAGTGTGCATATGTGATACAGGTGATATGCAGAATTTGCCTGGAGGCAGGGCTGCAGTGGCTCAGAGGTTAAGACACTGAGGTGCAGATCACAAGGTCTGTAGCCTGGCAGTTCTAGATCCTAGTGCCGCATGATGGAGTGAGCTCCCATCTCTGGTCCCAGCTCCTGCAACCTAGCAGTTCGAAAGCAAGAAATTACAAGTAGATAAATAGGTACCGCTTCAGTGGGACGGTAACAGCATTCCAACGCCTCGGTGTCTAGTCATGCTGGCCACATGACCACGGAAATGTCTTTGGACAGTGCTGGCTCTTCAGCTTGGAAATAGAGATGAGCAACATCCCCTAGAGTCATATTCAATTAGCTTTCAAGCAAGGGAAACCTTTACCTTTACACATGATTCTAATGTTCCCACAGTATTTAAAGGGTTTCTGGTTTCATGGATGTGCAAATCTACCCTCACAACTCTGGGGCTGGTTTCTTGCAGACATATAGAACCTATTTTACAGCATTTCCTTTTTTAAAAATGCTGCAATAGGGGATATATGTCTGTAAAAAACAGAAAGATTATTGAGCCTTGACCAAACACACATTTAACAACTTATAACTGTATTGTTCAAGGCTGCCTAAAGACTGCAGATGGTATACTGCCTCCTACACATTTCAGCATTTTTCTCTATAACCACAAACCTATCCCACCCCCCACCCCCGTTGGAGGAAGGAGACAGACGCAGGTTTTAGGTTAACTAATGGACCACTTCTAAAGACTGCAGATGGTATACTGCCTCCATAACCACAAACCTATCCCACCCCCCATTGGAAGAAGGAGACAGATGCAGGTTTTAGGTTAACTAATGGACCACTTTATTCAACTATTTACATCAACTCAAATGGCAAGGACCAAACAAGCTTGCAGCAATGGGTAAGGCCAGGGGTCACCCAAACCCCTCCCTTGCCAAACAATGGGTGAGCCACCTGCCCCTGGCCATAGCCATCATGATATGGCTTAAAATCAGTGGCCCAGCAACTGGATTATCACCCTGGAACTCTAACCCACCAAACCACACAACTCAAGGGGAGGAGCTACCAGAGATGTCTGAAAGGCAGTTCGCTTTCCCTGCCCTGGGCCGCACAACCCAAGGGCTGTACTCACAACACCCCTAAGCTAAAAAAGATAGAGGTGTCAGATGGTGCTCCCCAAACTGCATTAGTTTGCCAAACCCAATCCTATCACCTACAAGTGACCAACACCTATTTAAATGGAGCACCCTGGCCAATTGTCCTGTTATGTATTGGGACTGAAACATTGCAGGACTGTGCTGCCAAAGACAGGGTGAGCTTGGGGCTGAATAAAAAACAACCAACAGGTTTCTGGCAGTAACCAATTAAGATGTAAAGTTTTGTAAATAGCCTATTGTTGGGAGTGGGGTGTGTTGGGGTGTGGCCATTGCATGCAATATACCCGAGCTGAGGCTCTGGTCTACAGTCCTGTTCTTGCTGAAATCACTGAACAAAGTAGAGCTGATCACCAGACTGGGAGTCTGTTCACCCATGGAACCCACTATTTAATATGTCCAATCCACTGATCACAGTACAAGGTAAGCAAAAACATCCCCCCCCCAAGTCGCTAATCTGGATAGGGTGAAAAATTCCTACCCCTTCCCTCCAAAGGGGCAACCAGCAAAAGTCTTCACTACATACAGGGTGGGAGTGTGGGCCAAGCATGAGGCGAAGACTGACAAGGTGTAGCCGGCTCATGAGACCTCCAGCTCCGCCCCCAACTTCTGAAAAAATGGATTCCATCCAGTATGACTTTTTCCAATGCTTAGTGACTACTCCTAGATGTGTCTTGGGCATAGCATTGAGAGCGGTATTAGGCAAATTATCGATGGAAGCTAGGGCTTGGATTAAAGAATTTCTCCTTAAAGTAAAGGTTTTAAAAGCTGAGGGAGGATCTACTCTACTTGGACTTATCGAGGCAGATAAACATTATAGCCAAGGGGATTGGCTATTAGAAAAGAAAATGAAATGCCTAGGAATAACAAATGATATGATTAAGAATACAGAACTAAAGACATTATAAGACAAAATTGAAAATCTGTAAAGAAACTGGATTTTACAAATACATCTAGTAGGGCACGCAGGGTATTTTCGACACTCCACTTGGGAATTGCCCTCCTGATGCAACTGCCAAAATATTTTTTATCAATTGACCGTCCCAAAACTAAGAAGAGCTTTTACTTTGGCAAGACTGAACGTTCTTCCCTCAGCAGTTTTGGAGGGCAGATATAATAGAGTATCATACTCTAATAGAATGTGCAGATGCTCATATCATACAATCGAAACCACTGAATTTATGATTATGGAGTGCCCTATATTTGATGAGGGCTAATTTAGTCACCCCTTTACTGAAAGATACAGAATTGCTAAATGGGTGAGCTGAGGTGTCATGGCTATTGTCGGATACAAATGATCATGTCACCGTCTCGGAGGCAAAATCCATAGGTATAATAATCAAATATAAGAGAAATAATACTGAGTAAGGTCTTTTAAAATATTTTTGTTCTAATTTCTGCTTAAGGTGATAGCCGTATGAGCAGTACTATATAGATAGATGATATAGATAGATAGATAGATAGATAGATAGATAGATAGATAGATAGATAGATAGATAGATGATAGATAGATAAATAGATGATAGATAGATAGTTGATAGATAGATGATAGATAGATGATAGATAGATAGAAGTTTCTAACCTTCATCCTGTGAGGCATTACATTAAAACAGCAGCATACATTTTATTTAAGACTCTAATTGTGACATTTGTTTATTCTTGTGTTTCTAGTGGAGATTTCCTACTGTTACTGAAGGGAATAGATCTAAAAAATAGAGAAAAACACAAGGTTATCAGTAATCCTTCCAGGGAGACAGTAGAGCAGAGCAGCATGTTTCCTCTTGTTACTGATGGGGGTTTGGGCTTGCCTCCCTCATGCCATTCCTGTCCCCTGCCTCCCCCCCAAACCAGCATTTCAGGGATCTCAATGTGCTGCAGCTGGAAGAGGAGAGGAAGGAAAATGCTGTTTTGCTGATAGAAGTACCTTTGATTAATGGAAAATTTAGCTTGGGTACAGTCCTTTGTTTCTCTTCCAGCATCAGGACAGGACAAAACGTGGATATCTCTAAAATCTCATAAGAAAAGCTGGGGGGGGGGATTTCTGAAATGTGAATGTTCCACTTGCACATCCCTTTTTTCCACTTCAGCATGATGTCCAAACGTTGTATGAAATTTTGGTAAATTGCTAAGCACAATGTACATGCAAAAAGGACTGATACAGATGCCAGTAAGTGTTCTAAAGGCAGGCATTTCTTACTGTTGCCCATGCAATTTTTGCATAGGTGCATTTGAAAATGCAGCTTGTACTGCATAGCAGTGCACATTATTGTACAGGGGTCTTTGCTGTGCTTTATTTCATTTGTTGCAATGCAGGGGATATGCTGAAATCATGTCCTTAAATTATCTTCTTTTCATCTAGTCTAGATGAAGCACTATAAGCCTGATGTCTGGAGGAGGCTATGGACTGGCTAAGGGTGAATAAAATGAAACATAATTCAGACAGAATAAGAATTATTGTGATGGGACATTCTGATCTGGATGAATGGGGAAATGGATGTTCTGGACAGTATTGTAGACTCCTTGAAGGATTAGTTTATACTTGTGTGATGGGCTGTGCTTTGAAAGCTCTTAAGTGCTGTATAAACATGTGATGGACTGTGAAGAGTTAATGCCTCTCAGAGCTGGAGAGCCTTTGAGTGACATGCTGCTCAAATGGATTTCATTGGATAGCTCAGTTGAGAAGAAAGTGTTGGTAACTGACTGCTAAAAAGAATTCATTTTAGCACTGACGGAAGGACTAGGAAGGTAGCAGGGAGGAATGGAAGGATTGCTGAAGACTCCCATTCAGGCCAGAGAAAAGGGGAAGAGCTTCTAGTGTAGAGAAGTAATGCCCTGTCCAGTTGAAAAGGGAGATAGCTCAAATAGAAGAATTATCCCTGGTTTGTTTAGAGAAGGAATTTAGGTACCTGGTAGTTTTTCCATGTTTTCTGAAACTTGTAGAGTCAGTTAAACTCAAGAACTTATTCTGGAGCAGACACTGAAAATACAGCCGCTCATCTCAAAGAGTCTAAGACCTTTGTGAAAAGCTTTAAACTATTACTTGCTGGAAACATGTGACCTGGAATTTGTGAATTTACTAAGTTACTTCAGAGTTATTATTGATTCACCGCAGACATTTTACCCCGATTCCACCTGACCTTTTCCCCTCTACGTTGAATAAAATATTCTGTTTATTTTTGAACTTTCAAAAGCCTTTCATGTGACATTTTCAAAAGTATAATTTAAGGAGGTGATCTTGTCTCTTCCCTCAAGTCCCTGGCCTGAGCCAGCATCAAAACATAATAATGTGACAGGTTGGGACAGCCATAAACTTTTAAATAAGAAGAAAATAGATAAAAGGGGCTGCTCAGTGTATGAAGCATTTCTGCAGCCTAAGAAGCTTTTCTCCAATTTATGTACCTGTTGTTGTTTTTTTAAAAAATAGGGTACATACATCTATTTTTTTTAAAAAAAAATCTATTAGTTCTTTAGAAAAGAGGAAATCAACCATTGACTGAATGCAGAATACAAATCTTGCATTGGTAAGTATGTATGTAAGATTTTATAGTATATGGCCATTGGCCTTTACAATACAAAATTGCATTCAAAGAGTACTTATGATTTAAAACATTACATTCAGAATAAAACTCAGTTATGCAACTAAAATGTCAAAATTACAGCAATTTATAATTATAAAAACATGGTATTAGTATTTTAAAACTCATTTTAAAACATTTCTAAGAGCCGTCTTGAATCTAACTTTCCTAGCAGCAAGTGCAAAGAGCGCTACCTTGTGTGAGACCAAAGGATTTGTATCCAACAAGAGAAAGATCAACTTTCCACTGTCAGGTAAATTGTGCACTTGGCTTCAGAATAGGAATCTGCTTCTCAGGTCTGAGTATAAAGGAGAAATCATTATATAATGGAATAAATATTCCACAGAGGTTCTGCATGCACAAATGCATTGTTCCTGTGGTAACTTAGAGTACATTCCAGACAGCACTTTGGTGGGCATAGACTAAAAGCGAAGTGCGGTGAATGCCGCTCTTAGGCTGTGTACCGTGATATCTGTCAAGTAGTGTGCTCTTAAATGGTCTTTCTTTATCCTTTGGTACCACGGTGCAGATTTTGACTGAATTATTAACATGTTGTCTAATAGAGCATCCTCATACTATATCCATTGACACAGATCCCAAGTGTTCGAAAGGGATCTAAGTAAGTCATCTGGCACAATATATCAGGAAATAATGTTATTATAGAATTCAACACAAGTTTTATCTTTGCTTAGTATATTGCAATAACTGATTTTGCTAAGTGTTTCATTTGGCAGCTGTTGCTATTTCAACTTTGATTTCAGGATCGCTTTCTGTGAGCTCGAGTCCTGAGTGAGGGGACACCTATTTCTCCTCTCATTAGGGCCACAGATGAGCCCTTCAGCAGTACCAATAGCCGCCTCAGAAAAAAGATTTTGCAGTGTCTCCAAGCTGGTCAACGTTTGCTCCTTCCATCCCCAAAGTTCTATCCCATACAGTATATGGGGTACAACTTTAGTAATAAAAAGCTTAATGGCTGAATCTATTAGGAAGCCACCTTTTGTTCGATAAAATCTCAATATTACTCCCAATGTCTTAGTTGCTGTTGGGCATTCCAATTTAATGTTTCACTAAGTATTAAACCCAAGTATTTATAGGTCTTCCACTGTTCTATTGGGACACCTTGAATACTACAAACATGTTTTTTGGCCCTTTTCCAGAAAACCACTACTTTGGTTTTGGAGTAGTTAATGATAAGTTTCTCTTCTTTACAATATTCTCCTACCTTATCTAAAAGTCTCCTTAGACCTGTTCTCGTGTCCGCGTATAGCAGTATTGATATTTCCTGTTGACCCAACATGGGTGTGCATTGGTAAGTAGGAACTCCTGCAGGTTCTGCTCATGCCATAATCACCAATTGTGATTATATCATAATTCACCAGTTGAGAATAAGCCCCAGCCTCATTGCTGATCAAGACGGTGTGATCACTGAGTCTTTTGTTAGAGTTCACTGGTTGACTGCACATCTACATCTAGCACAGCAGTACACATTTCCATGAGTGGAAAAGCAAAGGAGCATAGGAACTGTATTTACTTCTCATTTGGGGAATCTGTTTCAGCATATGGTACCTTTCCCCCCTCAAGAACATCATTTTGCAGTACAAATATATTCCCTCCGGGGAGCTTTGTTTCAGCACCTATAACATCACCTCACTTTCAAGAGATTTCTTCCCATTTGGCACTCCATGTCAGCAGGGCACTCTTCTAAGACCACATTCCACACAACTCTCTGGGTTGGTTTAGTTTTTTGTTGGGGGGTTGTTGTTTTTTTGCTGTCAAATCACAGCCCAAATTTACTATCAAATCACATCACAGCCAGGTCCACCCC